AAAAGAGAAAAAAATTCAGTTTAATTTCATATATCTATAAAGTAGAAATTCCTCACTTTACAAGACCCAAAGAATTCTAGTCATTTCTAGTCGAAATGGGTATAAACACATTCACATTCATTCAATCAAACCACATGCTTTTAGATTCAGAATGACAACAAATAGATGTTTTTTTATATAATAATTTAAAAACAGAATAAATACTATATCTATGCTCTATTAATTTATTCTAGTCTAATAAAATCTAATTGAGCTGTAGTAGGATAAGCACTAAACTTCAGAACTTTAAAATCAGAATTTTGTGAAACTAGTTTGAAAACAAAATCCGATTTAAATATTGCTTTTGCATGAACAAACACCAAGGTTTATTTTAGAATGACAGCAGAACAAGATTTTCTTCTAAGTAAGAGACATTACCTCACATTAGTTGCAGTCTTCAGAGTGTCACTATCTGTAGCAGTATATGTTGCTATGACCTTGCTGAGGGAGATGGAATTCTTTTCCTCAGAGATGGTTACAACTTTCACATTGGGCTGGAACTTTGGCGCCTCTTTCTGATTGATGACATCTATTTTGATGGGATATGGCTTTGATGTGGAAGCTCCAGTTATTATCATGCTGCTGCCATAGTTGTACTCTGCTTCATTTTTAACCTTCACTCCAAGATTTACCGTCTTTATTTCCTCATAGTCCAGAGCCTATAGGTTATAAGCAAGTGATCAGCAGGAGACAAAGGCTTTCAACACTAATACTATACCATCTCTGATTGGAAAAACATATTAATTGACTTATCACATAAACATAGAATATTCCACACCAATTAGATTATTCAAAACACAGTCTATTTTTATCTGATGCAAGAATAAAAGACAAAAAGGGACAATTTTTTAAGTAAATGTTGAGAAAATTTCTAATTCTAATAATCCTGGTATTATGTGTTCTCTTGTATTGTGAGCTGGGTATAACACACCTACTTTTTAACTTTTTTTATTCAAACAGACCTTAGTAACTGTTATGACTCCCTCGTTGGTCTTTTTATCAGTTGTGATTTGAAAATAACCAGCTTCGTTTCCTGAAACGATTTCATACATCGCGAACCAGTTGGTTGTATTGATCAGATCCAGGTCGACTGCTTGTATCCTTAGAACTTCAACCCCAACCGTGTTCTCCTCAATTTTTCCCTCATACTGGTGAAAATAGGCCAAAAGAAAATAATGAACATATATTATCCATACATTACTTTGTAGAATGATTTTATGATTGTTTTTGACATATACCGTTTCTTTTTCCAGAGTTGGAATATTGTCATTTATGTCTGTGAGTTTAATCTCAATTTCACCAGTTCCTGTGTTCCCTCCTGCCTTGCCATTCAAGTCAGAAGCAATGATGGTCAACTTGTATGTGTCTTGAGTCTGAAAGAAAAAGGTTTTCAATAATGAATTTGAGTTTTAAATCCAATAGGAATTGGTGCCTTCTAGGGAACAACACATCATGTCATAGAAACCACACAGTGACTCACCTCTCTATCTAGAGAGGTCTTTGCAATCATGACCTCTCCTGTTTGCGAGTTGATAGTGAACATCCCATCTCTGTTACTGCGCTCATCTATTCTGTAGAAGATCTTGGCGTTTTCAGTGTTCGAGTCATCATCATCTGTAGCTATGACTTTCATGACAACAGTACCTACCAAAAATACATTTACTATCGTTAGTCCATTGTAGCAAATACATATTTTTTTCGAATTCAGATCAGAAATGCTTTAAGGATCTTTGATACCTAGTTTGCTGTGCTCGTTCACTTGTGCAATTTGCTGTGCTTTTATGACTGGAGGGCAGTCATTAATGTCCACGACCTTAATAAGAAGAGCAATATCCTTCTCTGCAAGAGTCCCATCACTGTATCTTGCCAAACCCGTAAGCTAAAAAGATAAGCAAAACAAACTTTTCAATCCTTCCCCTTAATTTTGCAAAAAACGAAAAACAAAACAAAAAACAATTAAAAGTCTTCTCTTACATTATACTGTGCAATTTCCTCTCGGTCCAGGATAGAATGGACCTTTATGTAGCCAGTGTCCCGGTTAACAGTAAATCTGCCTACAGGATCTTGGTCAGCACCAGGACCAGATAAATAGTAAAATATCTTTTTGTTAGTCTCCTTATCTGAGCGAATCTGGAATACAGATGCATAAAGTTAGACAAGAACCACATGGAAACCTAGCTACTTTAATTACACAATCAAGGATAGCCTACATTATTTCAAAAATTCTTGTCTGCTTGAAAGTGGTCTAACTTCAATTTCCGGCTGAATTACAAAATAGTCTCACATAACTTAATGTAAATGCATTTTGTCATCCAGAATATTTTTTGAGTAAATCTAGATAAAGACCAAAATTATATTTACAATTCTGTAATACAATGAAACTTAAAAAGACATTTTTTTTTTCTTGTTTTATTATGGGAACATTTATCTTTATTTAATAGATTCCATATTGTCTTGAGTTTGTGATGAAAGGCTAAATGTTAGTTGGACAGACTAGTCTTAAAAAACTGATACATATAGAAATCTATTCTTAAGTGAGGCTTATAGGTTTGCATTTTGGTAATCATTTGCAGAGAAACAAAACAATGAAATACACACTCTAGCAACGAAATCGTAGGTGGTGTAGTCCTGTCCCTCATCAAGGTTTCTGGGAGCAAGAATCCAATTTCTTTTCTGCCTCCTCAGCACTCCACCATGTTCTTGTACTGTCACAGGAACCAGCTTAAGGAGAAAAAAAAAAATACAGAATAAACAAAAGAAATAGACATGTAGTAATGCCAAAGCCAGAAACAACCAGCTGCTGCTCCTGTGTTGTCTTATTTCTAGAGCCATTTCTTATCAAATTTCAAAACAAGCATACATATTCCAACTTTCAGAGGTAATGATTTGCTTTAACCCACCAGCGGGGTGTATGCCACAGTACATAAGAATTGGGATTAAGAATCATGATTATTCCAACAAAAAAGTATTTAAAGGTAAAAAATTCCTTTAACATTACTTAACCTCTGAAAACACAGCTTTTGGATTATCTTAACCATTTGTTGATGTTTTACAAATACATCCCCGAAACATTTGTGTCATAATTTATAAGATTTGCAGTGAGTTTGTCGATTACTCAAGAACTAATAACAGGAAATTTTTGGACAATATTCACTATTTCCAACAGTTGATAGTTTGTTTTCCTTTATCTAACATAATATAACACTTTCTAAATGTGCAATTAGACAGAAGCTTCTAATTTACAGAAAGTCTCGCTTTGAGTTCCTTCTCAAAAAGCTAAATAGGAAGTCAGAAAGGATGAAGAAGGAGAAATAAATAAATAAATTAACAAAGAGGCTTATTCTATTTCATCATGGCCTGTGGATATTTGGTGTCATCCTGTATTTCATGGTTGGGAATGTCTTCCAACGGTGTTAAAATATACTTTTAAATGTATTTGACTGCGATAAAACAAAGGCTGGTTGATAAAGGTTTTTTTTAATACTACACCAATATCTATTTAAACTTTTGAGCAGCTTTTTTTTTTTATTTTTATCGAATTTTCATGAGTTGTGTGGGTTAGAAAGAAAGAGGAAAAAAAACTCAAACAAACGAAACTGGCTCCCCTTCCAAAACAACCCTTAGCACAAAGTAGTATACTTGAAGTAAATTCTATTAAGAATACTTAAGTATAAGTTTAGAAAGTATACCAAACAATGTACTTTTAGTGTACTTGAAGTATTACTAAAGTAATACTTCTTCGAACTAAATTGGGACATTCAATTTTATACTTAAAGTATACATTAGTAAACAATAAAGTAAACAATAGTATAGTCAAGTACTCTTGACTATACTATTGTTAAGTATGTGAAATATAGTTTAGAGTAAGTAAACTCTAAGTGCACTGCCTGATTTTAAGTATGAAATTAGTGCACTTTTAGTATACTTGAATAAACTACTTTTTGCTAAGGGAAATAGGATCTTAAACACGCATAAAGTTGTTTTTCTTTTTTTCCTGAGATAACTGCGCTGTCTTTCCATCCAGATCCCCTCAAAGTCAGACTATAGACCACACCTGTAGGACGATCGGCTTCCCCTTGTTTTTTCCTGTAAATAACTTTTTTTAATGAGATAGACGTTACTTACAGTGATGACCGTCAGTAGAAGGAAAAGCTTGCCTCTAAGCAGATCCATCAGTTCGAGAATGAAATAATAAAAAAAAGGATTTATCCAAGTTTTGATGTAAGATCGCCTGAGTTTTAGATCCGCTGTAGGCTTTTTGTTGGTTGCTTCAGACTTTGACCCGGTTGAAGAGGAATGAGCTGTATTTTAGTGCGGGGCGTGTCTATTCTTTCTATAGAGCTCTTCGCGATAAAGGGACTACAGTGAGAATGTTGTGTAAAGCTTTATATCCAGTCTGCTTTCTACTGACGGGAGAAAAAAAATAGAAAGTCGAAACTGATCCAGGTTGCGTAGTAATAAAAACCTGAGTGTGGTCTAGTCTGCCATGTCTCTATGGCAGACTAGACTCTCTATGGAGTTAATGTCTGATACAGGGCCGTTCATACATGCGACGCTTCAGGGCAACACTGTCCTCATTTCTCTTATTGTTAGCCTATTTGCATTTCCTCAGAAAACTCATGCTTGAAAGTTGCTTTGCAATTATCCAGCAATCTCGCAGAGCCTGTACCTTTACTGGATAATAGAATTAGTCAGGGAAAAGCCACATAAACAAAACAATTATTACAACAATTAAAACCAATTAAAGTATTTAACTAGTGCTAACTAGCCTCTTGTTACAAAATAAAACTATCAAACAATTTCATAAAGAAAAAGCATCAGTTATCATGTGGATTAGACATGACCTGCTGAGGGTAAAAGCCAACTGTGCGCCTGTGCTTTAGACACTACAAAAATGATTTAGGGTATTTCTTNGTATTATATCTCCTTTTCACATTAAGGTCAGGAATATTTGATAAGGGTTTCTCATTTATGTGTTCATAGCTAAAGATCAATGCTTTGGATAAAATAACTCAAGAGAAAAGAGACGAACCTTTGTTCCTTGAAATAATAGTGGATGATGTTAATGATAATAATCCAGAGTTTGAAGGCAGCCTTAATTTCTCTGTGGGTGAGCAAACTGCAAGTAAGTAGTAGCAAACTCTTAAAAGTCATGTCATATTCATGGAAATATTTCCTGTAAACATCCTCTAAATAAAGAATTTCACCCATAGATATGGTAGTGGGGAAAGTAAATGCTACAGACAAAGATGATCCCAAAACTGATCATGTTAGGATCAAATTCACACTCAAAGATGGGCTGGAACATTTTGCCATCAACCCAGATACAGGTGTCATCACCACTGTGTCCAACACACTGGACCGAGAGGTAAGCACCGCCATCTCTAAAGACAAATGATTTTGTTCCTAAGGCTGTTACTCCCTAGTTTGAATTGAACTCTAATTTCATTCCATTTCTGACATGTATTTTAAGACAAAAGACAAGCATATGGTGACTGTAGAGATCAGAGACTTGAAGGGGGCACCAAACGGTCTTTCTAACACAGCTACGGCAACGATCACCTTGAACGACATCAATGACAACCCACCAACTTTCAGAGAAACATCTGTAAGTGCTTAAAAGCGGACTAAATGAATATTAAATGTCAAAGTGTAAGAGGATGTTTGCTGCCAAATATCAGACAGTCTGTGTGACACAAATTGCTGGCTTTATTTGTGTGCGCATAAAAAAATAATGTTGGTGTACATGGACACCAGGAACCGGCCTAATCCCTAATTCAAAAACACCCTGTGATTGTTTTTTTTTTGTTTGTCTTTTTTAGTTTAAAGCCACCACTCCAGAAAATAAGGAGGAGGAACATCTTATCCTTAGAATTCCTGTGGACGATAAAGATTTAAATACCACAGATAACTGGGTTTCCAAATTTGTCATCACAAAAGGAAATGAAAATGGATATTTCAGGATTGATACTGATCCTGAGACAAATGAGGGACGTCTCTATGTTACAAAGGTTTGTTGTTAGACTCAAGAATTGTTTAAGCATAATATGATTGATACTTATTCACAGGACATCAATTTTTATCTCTTCATTTACATTTTTTTCCGCCCCACTCTGTTTTCTAGCCCTTAGATTACGAGAAGACCAAGAATATGGAGCTCATGATTTCGGCCCAGAATGAAGCAGAGCTGAAAGGCACCACTGCCCAGTGGCTCTCTGTCCCAGTGAACGTTGCTGTCACTGACATCGACGAAGGCCCTGAATTCCTTGCTCCGACTGTTGCTTTCACAGTTGATGAAAACTTACCAAATGGCACAATAATAGGAACATACAAAGCTATAGATCCAGAGACCAAGAGCAGCGACGGAAACATGTAATCCTCTTTTTCTTTTTATTGCCTTAATTTTTAAAAGGGATTTCCTTTTTGTGGGTTGACAGAACTATAGCACTCTCCAAAAACACAGCTTTTGGATTATCTTAACTCTTTGTTGATGCTTTGCAAATAAATCCCTGAAACATTTGTTTCACAATTTATAAGATTTGCAGTGAGTTTNAACACAGCTTTTGGATTATCTTAACTCTTTGTTGATGCTTTGCAAATAAATCCCTGAAACATTTGTTTCACAATTTATAAGATTTGCAGTGAGTTTGTCGATTTCTTTTCTCCAGAACTAATAACAGGAGAATTTTGGACAATATTCACTATTTCCAACAGTTGATAGTTTGTTTTCCTTTATCTAACATAATATAACACTTTCTAAATGTGCAATTAGACTGAAGCTTCTAATTAACAGAAAGTCTCGCTTTGAGTTCTTTCTCAAAGAGCTAAATAGGAAGACGGAAAGGATAAAAAAGGAGGAATAAATAAATAAATTAACAAAGAGGCTTATTCTATTTCATCATGGCCTGTGGATATTTGTTGTCATCCTGCATTTCAAGATTGGGAATGTCTTCCAACGGTGTTAAAATATACTTTTAAATGTATTTGACTGCAATAAAACAATGGCTGGTTGATAAAGTTTTTTTTTTAATATTACACCAAGATCTATTTAAACTTTTGAGCAGCTTGTTTTTTTTATTTTTTTATTTTTTATCCAATTTTCATTAGTTGTGTGGGTTGGGAAGAAAGAGAAAAAAAACCCAAACAAACAAAACTGGCTCTCCTTCCAAAAAAAAACCCTTAGCAAAAAGTAGTATACTTGAAGTAAATTCTATTAAGAATACTTAAGTATAAGTTTAAGTATAAGTTTAGAAAGTATACCAAACAAAGTACTTTTTGTGTACTTAAAGTATTACTAAAGTAATACCTCTTCAAACTAAATTGGGACATTTTTAAATTTACTTTTGAATTTTATACTTAAAGTATACTTTAGTAAACAATAAAGTAAACAATAGTATAGTGAAGTACTCTTGACTATACTATTGTTAAGTTTCAGCGGAGAAAATAAGTATTTGACCCCTTGCTCATTTTGCAGGTTTGCCCACTTACAAAGAATGCAACAATCTACAATTTTAATCATATGTACATTCTAACAGTGAAAGACAAAACCCTAAAGGAAATTTCAGAAATTCACATCATATGAATTTATTAAAATTGATAACTATCTTGTAAGGTTGTGATTATAAAATTAATGTATGTACATATAAGCATTGAATTAAGGAGATGCTCCACTCTGTCTTGTGATTCAGTCAGGAGACCACACTGTCTTGTGATTCAGTCAGGAGACCACCCTGCCTTGTGATTCAGTTGGTGAAGCCTTCTGTCTTATGAACTGATCAATTGTTCTGTCAGAACAGTACTGTTTTGTAACCATGTGTTATGTTCTGTTAATAAAAGACGGCTGCAGGAGGGGAGTCAAAGAAAGAGCTGGAAGTTGGGTTGGGCTTTTTCCACTCCTGCAGGAGT